ACTGTGTTATGAGTCTCAAGAGATATTGAGAAAACCTTTATAAACTGTGAGGCAAAAAGGGTAATTTTTAAGTGAAATTTTGAGTTTCAGAGTTTCAAAGGCCTGCCTTTGAGCTGGGTGAAGCTGGCAGGGTTGGCTGGATCTCTACCTTGGAATAGTCTGTTTCTAAGGAGAGTCTGGGCTCACCTGTCTTTCAGTTGTGACAAGGGCTTTGACTACACTCTAGCACTGATGTTTGAAAAATTTAAATAATTTGTCATACAGACCCAAGACAGTAAGTAGTTTCCTGAGTCAGGTTGTTTTGACCAGAGAACCTGTCTTTTATTTTGTTTTTTCCAGAGAGAGGAAGAGAGAGAGAGTTGAAACATCAGTGATGAGAGAGAGTCATTGATTGGCTGCCTCCTGCACGCCCCCAACGATCTCTTGGATCCTAGGTCAATGCTCAACTGTTGAGCCACGCTCAGCCAGGCAAGGACATCTGTCTTCTAATGAAATCTGTGGTCGATTAGAGAGGATATTTTCTTCTTTTGATGGGGCCCATAAAATTGAGGTAACTCTCAGGCACTAGCAACAACCATAACAGATGCACTCAAGAGTTCCCTTCTCGTTGGCTGCTGGTTTGTTGGGCATCACAGCCTGCACAAGACTGGTCTGCTGTCTTGGCTGGCCTGCTCCTCAGGCTCAATTCCTTGCTTGCCCTCTTTCTCTGACAGATATTTTGAGCTAGTGAGGATCATAGAAAACAGTGGCAAATATAATATAAACATCTATATCAGTCCTTTTTCCTCTTGTGGTCATTACTGAAGCAAGAGCAGTTCATTCCTCTGTTAGAGCAAGAACCCTAAAAGGCATTTCAATGCACCTTCCCATATTCATAGGAAGATTGCCTTTCCCCTTCACAAAGTTGCTGAGACAAATGTCTGACCCATACCCATCCAAAAGGATGTTGAAGTTCAGTTTGTGAGAGGACACTACAAATGTCAGTAAATTGGCAAGGTGGTCCAGGTGACAGGAAGACCTGTCACACACACTGAACAAGTGCAGTGGGAGACAGCAAATGAAGCTACTGTCCATGTGGGCATTCACCCTCACTAGGCCCAAATTGGACCAAAACTACAAAAAGAGCCTTGAATGTAAAGCCAAATATTACCCAGTAGGGAACAAAAAGGGAAACGATAAGGAAGAAACAAGTGAGATGATAGAGAAGTAAAAGAAATCTTACCTACAACTGTTATTAAAGAAAGGCTAAAATAAATATATATGAATATGTATGTATATATAAATATATATACTATACATGAAAATATATTCATATTTATATATTCATATACATTTGTATTAAATATATATGTGAATATATCTCAATGTCTTTATGAAGACCTATGGGAAGGTTTTCTTGACTCCACAGCAAAAATAATTTTGCTTCTCATGAATGATAGCTTTCCCTATTTCATGAAGCCCCAGATAAAGTTTCTCATTTTCATGGACTGCTCTGATGCCCAGAGCACACATATTATAGAAAAATGGGCAAAATACATGAGTAGATTGCACGAGCACGCACACACACATGCGTGCGCGCACACACACACAGAGGATATAAAAATGGTCCTTAAACATATGAAATGATATCCAACCTTACTCAAACACAGAAATGCAAGTTAAAATTACAATGAAATACCATTTTTCACCTTTTAGATTAGGGAAAATTGTATAGTATGATAACATTTGAACACATGGTTATGAGGAAACAGCTACTCATATATTGTGGGTTAACATACAAACCAATAAAATTATTGTGGAGAAGAATTTAATAGTATCTAACAAAACTACATTAATTGCCCTGGCTGGTGTAGTTCAGTTGGTTGAGTGTTGCCCTGTACACCAAAATGCCACTGGTTCAATTCTCGGTTGAGGCACTTTCCCATGGTTGTGGGTTGCAACCCCATTTGGGGTGCATGCAGGAGGCAACCAATTGATATTTTTCTCTTACATTCACCTTTCTCTCTCTCATCCTCTCCCTTCTTCTCTCTCTAAAATAAATAAAAACATTTTTTAAAAAGTTGTAACATACATGCAATGGAATGTCAGAAGAAGAAAACAAGAAAGGAACAGAAGAAATATATGAAACAATGACTGAGAATTTCCCCCAAATAAATGTCAGGCAGCAAACCACAGATCCAGGAAGTCTAGGCAACATCAACTAGGATAAATTCAAAAAATACTACACCTAAGCATATCATTTTCAAATTACAGAAAAATCAAACATAAAGAAAAATCTTAAAAGAAGCCAGAGGACAATCTATATAATCACAACTTTTTAAAAACTTGTTAGATAGCTGAGGTTACTGGATAACTGGTTATCCTAACTTGAAATACAGGAGTCTCTAAAGAGAGACAAGATCCAAACATGGCCAGCTGTCTAATTATTGATCTTTGTGTGGGTACAGAGGCTGAGGTCTTCTATGTTGTCCTTTTGGTGATGTCACTCTCCTTGTCATTATTGTTATTATTATTTTGGTAACTCCATCAAGTGACATTAGGACTGGGCACAATGTGTGTACACCAATATTTACCAGCTGGATAACAGTGGTTGGGTAGATGAGTAGATTGATGAAGAATACATTTAATATATTTTTTAAAGTTCTAAAAGAAGAGAATGCAAAGATATAACTGGCAGGATTAGTGGGCACTAGATTCCAAGAGTATACAATGAACTTCAGGTATGGATTAAAGAGTCTGTCCTAAGTAAAGGCTGCTTAGTTAGGCAAGAGCAGAAACTTCAATGTAAGGATAATTTTAAAAAATGTTACCACTCTTGAATAGTGGCCTGGCAGTATCGGTATCCTTCCAGCTGGTAAACATGAAATACTGCTATGTGGCTTCTGATGGAATTTACCATGGTCTGGTGAGAAATAACTCACATGCGTGAAACTGAAGGGACTAAAAGCTGAGATTACTAACTGCTGGCCAAGTAAAACAGACAGTGAGATCAGCATGATCACCGCAGGCCAAACCACCAACTCCCTCCTCTTGGTAAGCACAGCCCGGAGCATTATAATCTTCTACGGTTGGATTACTTGACTGTAAAAGTGGCTGCCCACAGTTTCTCTGTTTTCACTTCCATCTAGGACTCTCTGTTGAATACTTTATTACTCAGTGGTGCCCAGGGCCACACTTTCCCTGTGCAATATGTTCCAAGAATGGTTTGTTTCTCCTTTGGAAAAGAAGTACTCATGTAAGAACAAAGCAGGTATTTCCCTTTTGATCTCCTTCCACAGAGATTTCTGAAGGCTCACAGCCTTTGTCTCAACCTGAGCTGAAGAGTTTAACAGACTCTTAGCCATTTTCATGCCTGTTCCTGTGTGTGTTCCTTTTCTATTCATCCAATCATGCCTTCAGATAGACCTTTGGCAAGTGGGTTTCGGAGTGTCCCGATAAAGAACTTTATGTAACATTTTCTCGCTCACTTTAAAGCTCCTTCGATCTTTCTTTGGCAAGAGATTAAAACAAACATCTGAAGAAGCACAGTGAGAGCTTTGGGTGATGCCAGCACCTGAGCCTTCAGTTCTGGCCCTGTTTACTCAGCTGGACCGGCCGACCTGTAGGCTGCCCCAGAGCAGAGATGTTGTCACTAGAGACAAACACAGACTTCATCACCACAGATTTAGAGCCACTGTAATTTGGCAAGCATGAATCTCAGTTCCCAAATACACTGAAATCTGTTTTTCTGTCATTTCTATTTTGAGCTCCCATTTTACTGGGATCCAGGCAGAAAGCCAATCTCAGTCAAGATGGTGTTACATCTGAGTTCTGGCGAACTTACACTAAGGTGCAGGGGTCGGCAGGACAGTCTTCGGTGTTATCTGGTCACTCAGCACTGCTCAGGTGTCCCTCATTCATCAAGAAGGGGATTCACTCAGCTGTTTCTACCTCTGCAGGCATGGGATCTCTTCAAGGCTGCCTAAGGTCCCATCTGCATGAACATGCATCCCTGTGAAGCCATATCCTCCAAGGACTTGCAGGTCCTTCCCAGAGCGTTGGCTGGGGAGCAGGGCACAGGACCCTCTCTCTAGACCCTCAGACAGCCACACTCCTTTCATTGTCCTTTCCAGACCCAGGGGACTCTATTGTAGGTGAGGACTTACAAACAGGAGTGCTTGCTAGGGCTGCTGTAACCAAATACCACAAACTGGGTGGCTTCAACCACAGAAATTTATTTTCTCATTGTTCTGGAGGCTGGAAGTCTGAGATCAAGGTGTCATCAGGGTTGGTTCCTTCTGAAGGCTCTGAGGGAGAATCTTCCACGCCTCCCTTCCCTAACTTCTGGTGATTTGCTGGCAATCTTTGGTTTGTAGAAGCATCTCTGATGTGATCTCTGTCTTTGTCTCCACATGGTGTTCTCCCAGTGTGCATGTCTATCCCCAAATTTCTATAGGGACACCAGTGACATTAGATTAGGGGCTCACCATACTCCAGTATGACTTGATTTTAACTAATTACCTCTGCAATAATCCTATTTCCAAATAAGTTCACATTCTGGGGTAAAGGAGATTAGGACTTCAACATAGGAGTTTAGGGGCATACTCAGGTCATAACAAAAGGTGGGCAGGTCATTGGGTAATAGAATTCTTTCTCCCCTTATTCCTGCTTCTCCTCAGGATTTTTATCCAAATATGTTGGCTATTCCCTTAGGACATCATTCCTTTAAGAGTTTTGGGCTTTTGGAAACCAAGGCAAGTACTTTCCTTTCATTTTGCTTTCTCCCCTAGGTGTTGCACAAACAGCAGCTTAGTCGTGTGAATGCAAGCAAAAGGAAGAAAAATCAATAAATCAGTCAATATCTCACAGAAGCTATCCTGACACATAAGTGAGCATTCCTTTTCCTGGAGTACTGAAGAGGAGCTAGTGGGGGAGGATTTGGTGATTCAGGATTCCAGCCACGGCCTCTTTGGAGATGAGAGTTGACAATCAGCAGTCATTCAAATAAGAAGAGAGGAACACACTTTTAAAAAACACATTTATTTTAAAATTTTACATAATCTTTGGGTAATTCAGAATTAGCTTAGGCATTTTTTTAGAAGATGTCTCAATTCCAAACCATGCCAACAGCTATTTGAGTGATAAAATGATTAGAGACCTCATGACAAAGGATGAAGAGATGACTACTGAGGGAGACAGAACCCCTTAGAGACAGGGGCTTTCCTAATTTTAAATTATCTGTAACAAATATGAAACATCTTGCCAGACCAACAGTATGTGAATTTTACCAGAGTATCTATGTAGAGCATAGAATCACACTTGAATTCATTTGATCCCTTATATTAATAATAACTAAAACTAGCATCTACCCAGTGTAGTCTCAGTGTCCACACCAACATCTATCTCCTGAGGATGGAATGACACATTCCTCTGCACTCAGTGTTCATGATTCACGGATCGCAATGAGAGAATCAAATAAGAGCAAAAAGCAAGCCAGGAATGTATGGGCCCTGGGAGGCAGATAAGACTAGTTCCACACAGCAGTTAGCGGCCCAAGAGCTCCTCCACCCATCCCAAGTGGTATCAGGCCCGGGCTGGGCTGCAGACGGGGAGGAGGCATGTTCTACCCCCTCTATTGCCTCAGATGGTTTCCTGGTTGTTCCAAACAGGGTAGTTGTTTCCCAACAGGACAGTTAATTTCCTAAGGACAGGACCCCATCTCTAGCCTCCTTCAGAGAAGGGTGCTGCCCAGGTGTGAGCAGAGAGCAGGTCCTTAGTAAAGGAAGGAAGGAAACTGCCATGTACTGAGCACCTGTTAGGTGCCAGGAACAGAGCCAGGGTAGGTGTTTCATGTGACCCTCACAACAGCCCTGTGAAATAGGCTCATCACCCTCAATTTACAGATGTGGCAACAGAGGTTCAGACAGGAGAATTTGCCCATGGTGGCATAGCTAGTAAAAAGGGGAACCTCAGCCTGAAAACCCAGGGCTTCTCACTCCAGGCTCTTTCCACTGCCTATCGAAGCTGAGCAACTGGCAGCAGATGAGTACTATAGCTCCCAGGTGGCTGGCCTGGAGCTCAAACATTAGAGGCCCTTGAGCACAAGGGTCCTGCTCCAGAAGTCCAGAGGTCTGGAGATAGGAGGCCTGGCTCTACAGCATTATTTAGTAACCTTGAGTAAGTCCTGTACTTTCTCCACACCAGGACCAGTCCAGGGTGGTTCTCTACCAGGGAGCGGTGGTGAGCAAACTATCTAGAATGTATGTTTACAGACCACAGTGGGGGAGCTTCTGCTGGGAGATTCTGTCCCTGACCCCTTGCTAGAGAGGTAGAGGACAAGGCTATCATCCACCTTGTGAAAATCAGTTATGGTCTCTGACCTCTGAGAGCAACTTTAAGTTCTCAGGAACCATACCCCCACACACTCCCTGAGAGACCTTTCACAGAAGGCCCATGAAGGTCAAAAACATCAGTTCAGGATACTTTTAAAGGAAAAAATGCTTAGAAGTAATCTAGGAGGGGGAAGACCACTTTAAGGGGGAAAAAAAAAGGATGGCAGTTAGAGGGAGGTTTGGGTTGGGCATGAAAAATGAAGTGGTGGATCCAGTTATAAGCCCAGCTAGTAGGACAGGGTCAGGGCAGGCCAAGCTGAGCCTGGAGAAATCAGGTTTTTGGCAACATTTTTGTCCGGTATCTGCCATGGGGCTGCACTTGCTGCCTCACACATGGATTGGGGTTTCCCTCAAAAAATAATTTGAGCCTGTAAGTTCAAGTAGACTTTAGAGAATAAATACGAGTAATAAAGGCAGAAAGGGAAACACAACTCAAATGACTCAGACAAAATCTGTTGGGCATGTTTCTCTTTTTTCTCTAAAATCCATTCCACGGCCCAGCTCTCTGAAGCCCTCTATGACCCACAGACACAATAAGTGTGTGCCCTCCTCTCTGGGTACATAGACAGACAGCTCAAGCACAGCAAGCCCACCTCTCTACAGGCCCCCAGGGCACTGCACTTACTGCATCTACCTGTCTGTTGCTCCCACTAAACTGTAAGCAGCTTGAGGATGTAGACTGTATGTTTCTGTACCTCCATCTCCATATGGAAAGAAATGTAGGGTTCTCAAGACCCTTTACACATAAGCACCCAGGCTAAGCACCTGCCAAATCAGCCTGAATGACAGGAACACTGCCTCTCCCAGGGGCAGGGACCTTAGGAGCAACTTTGTTCTGGAGGAACCGAGCATGTTTCCTTCACCCTGTACCACTTATTTGCCCCGCCTCCTTCCCTAGAGCCACCCGTTACCAGACACAGTCATAATTTGGGAGAATTTCTTTAAAACATGAAATCAACGTCTAGGTGCAGATTTCAAGCAATATGGAGTGCTGGTTTGTGAGAATAATATTATTCAGATGGAGAAAACAACCCAGTTTTGGCAGTTCTGGGAGGAAAGGTGGATCTTGCATTTACCCGTGTGGAAGGAAGGGAGGGCGCTGTCTGCATAGAGTGCTAGGTGTGTGTGCATGTGTGTGGCAGGGGGCTTTGCGCTCACACCTCTATAGAAATAGGGCAGGCTGGACCTGGTTCTTCACCCTCAGGGTCCTAAAGCCCCAAGGCTCTTGCAGGCAGAAGGCCTAGAGTTCAAGGAGCAGAAGGGGATTGTTCGGGAGCGTGGTCTTCCCAGGCCCAGGGTGGCCAAGAGAGGGGCTGTAAAATCCCCAATGGAGAAGAGTGAGGGCACCTGTCTAGGGAGCACACCTCAGCAGTGAATGCTCCGGAAACCAGGCAGTGTGGCTTTTCCAAGCAGGTAAATGTCCTTGTCTTTGCCCTGGTTGAGGTACTTCACCATATTCTTCTCAAAGAGGAGCGGGTGGTAGGCGCCCATGGTGCAGGCGCTGTCGAAGAACTTCTGGTAGTAGTGGCACAAGTCTGTCTTGCGCTTGGATGGGAGGAACTCGTAAATATCCACCTGGTCACACAGTGTCATCATGATGATGATCCCTGGAGAAGGGAGCAGAGGTAAGTCCTGCCAGACAACCCATCCCACACCTCAGAGCTCTGCCCAATGAGTCTACAGCTCATGACCCCAAATTTGGGGAGATATCTATCTGGAGTTTCTAGTTATTACTATGGTTCTCAATCTGAGTCCTTCTGGTAAGTCAATGTGGCAAGCTGTTCCTCGAGGGTCACTGAGCCCGATGCACCTTTGTATCCCCAGCATGTAGGCCAGGACCTGGTCATGTTAGGTCCTCCCTAAATATTAGTGGATTGAAGGATTCCATCTACCCTCAATGAATTTATCAATGTAAATAAGCTATATGAAGAGAGAGGACACAGTGAATGAGAAGACAGTACTATCACATGCACATAATACTTTCTAGCAGTTTTTTATCCCAGAGGAGCCTCTTAGATGGTGCTATTTGGGAGAAGGTATTTCTTATGGTACTTTTAGGGAACAGTTCTCCCTCCTCTGGGAGGAAGGACATTTAGAACAGGAGCACACCATGGTCTGTATTGATGAGCTCTGCTCATTTGGGCAGGAGATTGGAACCAAGGGGTGGGGCCAGGTTGGTGCTCTTGGGGAGACGGTACAGATACTGAGATGCAAACCCAACAGGAGGCAGGAGACTGCTGCTACCACCCACGCTTGTCCCCACCAGTCATCTCGTGCAGGACACACCCTTCTCTGGGCCTCAGGTTCTTCATCTGCCCCAACAGGGTGATATACCCACCTCCTACCACACAGGCTATTATTGTTAGGAGGCGATAAGATCATGGCTCTAAGACCCCTTTTGTCAACCATAAATATAAAGAATCTTTATATGGAGCGGTTCCCACTAATAGCAAAACTCTAAACTGCTAGCAGCAACTTAGTTCCAGAAGAATCAGACATGGCGAAAGCCCCCCTCTGCCCTCTGGCTGCCCCTGGTCCAATGGGGGAGAAAAAATACCTCTGCAACTAAGGGGTGTATGCCCAGCAAGAGTGCTTCTAGAAATTATGGGAAAGAGTGCTTCCTGTGAGAGAGGGCTCAAGTAAAACTCCTGGAGCACTGGTGTGGGGCCTGGCAGGGGCCATCGCCATGAGGGATGGGCAAGGGGGGAGGACTGGTGATGCGGGGGAGAGGATGGGCAAATGCAGGGCAGTAGAGCAATAAGAAAATATGTTCCCCATGATGCTTCCCCAACTATTCCTGCTCAAAAGGGCTCCAGGATAAGCCCCAAATGCACCCATTCAAAAGTTGAAGAGAAAGATATGAAGATGTGAAACAAGAAGAGACCCTGCCTCTTTTTGTAAGGAATATCTCTGAAATTAAACACTTATTTGTTCATTTACTCAGAGAGCATTTAGCACAGGGCTGTCCTGGGCCAGATCCACAAAGGATGAGTCAACCACAGTCCCCACCCTGAGGGAGTTTTCAGTCTAACGGGAGGTCACAGTCCCCACCCTTGAGGAAGTTTTCAGTCTAACAGAGAAGGTCACAGTCCCCACCCTTGAGGGAGTTTTCAGTCTAACAGGGGAGGTCACGGTCCCCACCCTGAAGGAGTTTTTAGTCTAATATGGGGACAAGTAAAGTACACAGTGATGAGTGGCTGGGGCCATTGGTGGAAAGTGGTCCACTGCAGGAGCCCAGGGGAGGGAGCTTCCCTTCCCGTGCACATACGAAGGCTCGAACCTTGGATATCGTCCATGGTTCAGCCAAACTTAAAGTGAAAGGACAGAGATGTCATGAGGGCCAAGAGGACTGCAGAAAGTCCAGGGAGAAAGTCTGTGGCCAGCATTCAGGGCCCTCTGCACTCTGAACCCCAGCCCACCCCATGTCAGCTCCCACAGCTCCATTTATGGCTCCTGAACCCAGTCAGGCTTCTCTGCTCATTCTCTCAGGACCACATCTAGCTGAACAATTTTTAGAATTTTGATTAAAGTATTATTGATTTTTCCTTTATCTTTTGATTTTAATATAGCTCAGCATAATATCATTACTGATCCTGTCTTTATTTAAAATATTGATATTTCATGCATCATAAAATTTTGCATTAATTGTGATTTTTAAAAGATAATGTATTAAGATACTGAATTGTTACTGAATTTGGCACCTGTTTAAATTGTGTGCCTGGTGCCAGTGCCTCACTCTTCTCAACTGAGTCCCAGCCCCACTCCTCCAGTGCTCCCGCCTCCCCTATCTGTGCTTTTCTCTATTCCATCTCCACTTGCCAAATCTGCCCCTCTCAAAGGCCTGATCCAAAGCTACTCCTCCACAAAGCTCTTGGACTGTCCACCTAGAGGGGGTCCTTTCTCCTGTGGCACTAGGGTGGTTGCTCCCTCCTGGCACAAAATAAATGTTTCCTCAGACACCTGACTGAACTCTCCCACTGAACACCCTAAAGAAGAAGGAGCCTATCTTATTAATCTCTGTATCTTAGCTAGAACTGGAACAGTGTACAAACCCAGCAAAAACCTAGCAATTGTTTGGTGCACGAATGAATGAATGAGACCCCAGAAGACAGCTAATCTCTTCTAGAAACAAACACGCGAGGTCTTTCCCCAGACATGGACTCACCAAGCATCCCAGAGGACGGCGGGTTTGGCTGAATCTTCTCTGAGGAGATTTCTTGAATGATGTCCCACAGCTCCCAAGGCATCTGAGGTCTGAGGATGTAAAAGGGCTGATCGGGATGGAGCCTACGGTAGCTCTTGTACTTATCAAAGAACCTGTAGTCGGGTTTCTGATACCACTGAAAAATAAGGAAATGGTCTCAAGGAGAGAAGCATCCTCAGCTCTTGGGGGGACCCTGGGGGAAGGCAGCGAAGGAGCAAAGCAGAGCCTGAGGCATGGCTCCTTCCTTGGGCAGCTTCCAGACGTCCCTCCACATCACAGCTCTCACTTGATAGCAGCAGGGAGCAACACGTAGCTTGTGCTCACAGGGAATTTTGAGGTTGGTGACCCTGGAGCAGCTTCAGACTTTAAGATCATAGAATCTGGGAACACTATCAGTGCTGAAAGGGGCCCTTGGCACCATCTAACCCCACTGTCATTTTTATTTTTAAAGGGGTGAAAACTGGGACACAGTTTGTCACATCTATGGGTCGAGAGTTTTTGTCCTGACCCTAGCAAATTTCAGTTTTAAGCTAGATCAATTAAAACTGTAGAAACTGAGGTAGTGAGGGTGCAAAGGATCACCAGAGCCTGTCAGCTATTGCTATGTCCAACTTGAAAATTCAGTGTCCTGAGAATAGTGCACTCTTTCCTTTCTAAAGCCATTCTCCTATGGCCACTGCAGCCCACATCAGGGACAGGCCAATTGCCACACATGACAGAGAGAGTCAGCCAACAGGCCTGACACTCTCTCTTCTTCCCTGAATGAGCGGTTACGCATCTGGTCCTTTGCTTAGGAAATCAAGTCCCGGAACAGGTAACTTTCCCTCTCCACATTCTAGTTTCCTCATCTGCAAAATGGGAACAACAACACTTCTACCTACTTCCTCATGTTGTTTTAAGAGTGAAATGAGGAGAATTCTGGAAACTGAAAGTGTGGGGCAAGTGTGATGATGTGATTTACAGGACTAATAGCAACCACTGTCCATTCCTGCTGATGCTCCATGCCAGATGGTAAGCAGAACCCCTATTCCTCCTGATACAAACCATCATCAGGAGACCAACAGATGGCAGTGTGGACCAGAGCACAGCGAGCACTGGTATAGGACAGGAATACTTCTGAACTGCCTGCCAGTCCAGATGAAATAGAGTGAAACAGCCAGTCCTCGTGGATGGCCCAGCTGTGACTTTAAAATCCAGGAGCTCAGGAAAAACTATTGATAAATAAGAAACTCAATTCCTGTTTCCGAAAGATACCCACTTACCTTGGAGATATCTGAATGGTAAATAGATGGGTCCCATACAATTAAGATTCCTTCATTGTATAAACTGTCTTTGAGGAAGTTTTTTTCTGTGGTGACCAACTGTAGGAAGAAACAGACAAGCTGTCACGTGGGCATTTACATATACATGTTTGGTGTGGACCACATCGCAAGGACCACCTGAGACCTCAGAGCCCCATGAGGCTTCTAAGTTTTCATGCAGCACTTAATTTCAGTGAGGAGAAGGCAAAGATGCTGGAAATGTGTGGCCCTCAAAATCAATTATGATCAATTTTGTTATAATTGATCAGCCACAGAGTAGAAAGAGTTGCACTCAGACTTTGATATTACTGGGGCGAGGGCACAGTAAAAATAGCTTATAGATCGTCCCCTGCAGTTATACTTCAAAAGAGGGCCAAAGGGGTGAAGTTTAAGGTCAGAATTTCAAAATAATATCTGGAAATCCTTTTAATCGCCTATAAAGTCCAGTACACAGTATTTACACATTGTGATGGAGAAAGATATATTATCTCTCATGAGTCCAATACAGCCAATGATTTCTGCAGCTGTGTCTGTGGTTGAGCATCAAATAAAGTCATCAGTTTGTGTGTAGGGGCCAGGGTATATGCAAAAACATGTATCTCTAAACACAAGAATCTCACCAGGCTGATGAGATGATTACAAGTAACCTACTGGAGACCAGTCGCAGCTCCTCTCCTCCCCCACATTCCCATTCTGGCCTCCATGCGCTAGTTCAACTCAGCTGGGCAAAATGTGACTAGCATAAGACTCCAAGGCCAGCTGTGCTGGGTCAATTTTGCAAAATGTATTAACATCCTTAAAAAAATAGTATGTATGCCCTTTGACTCAGTAATGTCACTTTTCAGTATCTATCCTAAGAGAATTTAAACTCAGGGAGAAAATTATGCACAGAAATGTTAATTAAATTACTTACCAACATAAAAAAAAGTATGGTGGCATCAGGTGAAAGATACTAGAATTGGATACAGAAAGACCTGAGCTCAATTCTTGGCTTTGTCACTAACTTATCTGGTGACCATGAGCAAGTGGGGTGATCTCCTTAGGCCTTCATGCTCATCAGATTGGCTACAGGAGCAAATGAGGAAGACAGAAACGGGGCCCCAAACATTGACAGTGAAAGAAGCCAGGGCCTCTCTTAAGAACTCCAAAACCGAGACATGAGATCAGCTGTCAGACCTTAAAAAGCAGGTGGGAGATGACGTTGCCCAGGTAGAAACTGAGAGGGACATGTGACAGAAATCAAATCAAGAACTGACTGAAAATGAAAGGAAGAATCACAACAATAACAATAACCCACCCCACCTCGGTCACTCGCCACGGAGAAGGTGGAGACTAATCAATGCCACTGCAGTGGCTTCAGAACAACTAGGGGTGTACACGGTCTGTGTACAACCCGAAGAACAGCAATTTGCCACAAGCCTCTTAGGTCATTTGGCTACCTCATCTCCATACCTTCCCCAGATGTAGAAAGGCGCTGGAAATCTGAAAAATATAATCCTGTTTCTTCAGTATATCTTTGAGACAAGAAATATGGGTGGTGGGCCCGCCTTGGCCAGGGATTGTGCAATTATACAGGGTGCCAGGGTGAGGGTGGCCATGAGGCCAGTGAGTGTTAAGGAATAAATAAGAATAGGCAAAGTCAGGGGAGTGTGACGGCAAGAGGGAGGCTCCTCAGACAGAAGAAACACCATGTGCGAATCTTCACGAAACTACAAAGAGAGTACGTGGCAGAGACTGCTCAGTGTCCCCCAGTAGCCATTCTCTCTTTCTTCTGGGTAACAAACATTCCTGATGTTTACCTCAAAACAAGCTAACTAAAATAAAGACTACAAAATAATACTGAATGTAAGCTGTATTTCAAAAACACTTTTAAATTTAAAATAAATAAATAAAAAGAACAGAGAAAGTAAAAATAAAATATTAGAAGCATAAGTTTTTTCCTGAGCTCTGCTTCTTTCTATGCAGAGTGCTGACAACAGGTGATTTACAGTACTCATGAGGATTAGTAATAACTGGGATTTTTATAAATGTCTCCTCCTGCCACAGCCCCTCTCCAACAGTTTTCTTAGTATACAAAACTGGAGGAGAGTGGCAGCCACTTCTGGCACCCTGAGACCTTCCTAGGATCTGGGGCTCCACTGTGCTCAGAAACCTCAAGAGAGATGCACAAAGTTTTCTCCTTTACAGTAAAGGGTAACAGTAATGATAACAAGAGATGCTGTTTAATGATAATTATTCCAAGTCAGATACTTTTACATATTGTCTCAATTCATTTTCACGATAGCCCTAGGAGGCAATTATTAATCTGCCCATTTTTATAAACAAGGAAATAGAGATGCTAAGTAACTTGCCCAAGCCAAGTTAGCAAGTAAGCTGAGGAGTCTGAATTAGAACCCTTTTGACTGACACCAGAGTCCACACTTCTAATCTACACAGTGCACTGCCTCATGCAAGGACAGTAGGATAGGACACCCTTGGCTCTTGCAAGGAAATCAGAAAGCAAGCAGGTGGTGAGGGGTATGGAAGTGTCATGAGAATTTTGCTTTTTGTCTGAGTTCTCATGTGTCACAGCTGGAAGATCCTTGAGGGACTAGATCCAAATCCATCATTTTCAGATGGGAAAGCTGAGGTCCAGAGAGAAGAGAGACTGTCTGAGGCTTCAAGGTGAGTTTAAGGCAGTCAGAACCAGAGGTCAGCTCCTACAAAAGTGTTCTTTCTGCTCCCACAGGGCTACATTCATAAACCACAAAATATTAAAACAAGCCAGTGCACTATCAGGATCTAGGCCATCCTCAGTTCTCACAGTACCCAAAGAGGGAATGATCATTCACTTGAGCTAGTTGAGGCAAACAAAAAAGTAATTCATGAAACTACTAAGAAGGGGAGATAAATGCTAGTTTCATCCAGAAAGAAGCAGCAGAAAGTGGCTGGGGCTGGGATCTGGTGGACAGAAAGGGGAGAAGCCAGCAAGCACCCCTCAATCTTAAATAGATATGGCTCTGAACTTAACACATTAATTCTGACACCAAAGAGTCCCTCAAAAAAACAAAAAAGCCTCAAAACTGCTCAGGGAATTGGGAGACTGCTTTGAGTCTAACTCACTCTGTGGTCTTAAGTGGGTCCCTTCACCTCTCCAGGCCTCAGGTTCTTTATTTATAGGACATGACCATCCTGTAGGGTCCTGCCTAGGTGACCAGCTATGCTCAGGGCACATCTCAGTCTGTCATTTTTTTTTCAAATGCAGCAGAAGGGACTTGGGAGAGAATAAAGCTCCTCTCAACTGCACCTATACTCACCCACAAGCAGAGTCTGGCCTGAGTTCAGGGATCCTTGGGGACTCTAGATGAGGAGAGTAAGTCATTGCCAAAGCAACAGATCCCCAAGGAGCACCTGCCAGGAAAAGGCTACACAAGGGAGATGGAGTGTTGCTGTTTTAGCAACCTGTTTAAAACAACCTTCCCAGTCATAAAGTAAGAAATGCTCCCTGCAAAAAGTTAGAAAATATAAGAATATACACACACATTTATATCTATAGAAAGAAGAAAATGATAACCACCCATAATTGCATTCTTCAGATATTACCACTGTGACTGTGTTAGTTTTTCCCTGTTATTGACTAAATTGTGTCCCCTGCTCCCCAAATTCTTATGCTGAAGCCCTAACCCCACATGTAACTATATTGGAGATAAGGTCTTCAGGGAGGTAATTAAGGTTAAATGAGGTCATAAGGATGAGGCCCTAAACTGTTAAGACTGATGTACTTATAAGAAAAGGAAGAGACACCAAAGAGCTCCCTCTCTCCCTATGCACACAGAGGAAAGGCAGTGGGAAGACACAGGGAGAAGGCAGCCATCCACCAGGCAGAAAAAGATCTCCACTTTGATAGCGCCTCAATCTTGTACTTCTGGCCCCTAGAACTGTGAAAAAATAAATCTTTGTTGTTTAAGCCACCCCATCTATTGTGTGTGTGTGTGTGTGTGTTAGACATTGATATATCTTAACTATAGCGTCTACATGTAGTGGTTTTGTTAAACTCACACAACAATCCAGGTCAATGCCTTCTTATTTATTCCTCACAATATTTCCAAGCTCCAAACAGGCATGAAAAGGAAGCTTTCTGAGGTTATGTAACTGCTCAAGATCACACAGCTAGGTAGGGATAGAGCTGAGATACAAAGCAAGGTCTGTGGGATCTTGTCCCACTATACCAGGCAACCTTAATTCAAAAATGTTAAGTTATAAGAAAACGAAGTGTGTGCTCTGGTTGACAGATCTGCAAATTTGCCATAGTTGCAAAGAGAGTCAGTGCTATAGGAAGACATACAAAAGGGTGGTCAGTGTTTTGAGTAGATATTAAAAATCATATGGAGGCTCTGAGCCTTCAGGGAAGGCCTGACCTGAACAGGATGTGCTCTAAAAGAGAGAAGGGCTCCACAAATTGAACCCCCCCACAAACTCCAAATCAGAGGGGCCTGTAATTCTACCCAGCAACACAGGAAGTCATCAAAAGCAACTATAAAATATTGGATGAAGTTAATGTTGAAAAGTACTTAATGGACGCAAAAGAAATTGGTAGAATAAGCTATGAAACTTATCCACAAAAGAGTACCATTCAGCTATAATAAACAATGAGAAAGATTTCTATGAACTGATACGATTTCCAGAAGATAGTGGAAAAAAGCCGAGTGTAAAGAATAGAGTCCACTATATTTTGTGTAAGAAACGAGAGGAATGACAAAATGTATATACATCGATTTGTCTTTATTGATGGAAACAAAAGGATAAATCAGAAAACAATAAAGTTGGATACCTACAGAAGTGGTGGTGGTACAGGGTGGAAGGAATTTGGGAGGGAATGACCCTTCCCTGAGTATACCTTTTTGGATAGTTTGAATTTTGGAAGCATGTTAATAATCTGCATATTTTAAAAAGAGGAATGAAAAGAAAAATCTAAAACTGAAACACAATGAATACAATTGAATTTCAAATGAATTCAGTAATTTTGGTGAAGAGAACCAGGAGGACTAATCCAGGTAACTTAGGTGCATATAATTTGACTC